TTTATGTACTTTCGTTATGTGGCATTTTGCGTAATTATCAAAAAACATCGTCCAAATACTTTTTGGAGGGCAGTGTAATTTACGAATTAAGTATTCGTTTGTTTACACTCTAAAAAACACGTAAATAAATAAAAATTTATTGCTATTTTTACTTTTTTGCTACTTAATCTATAAAAACATGGTTAATACAAAGCTTGAAACCCAACGTAAAACTATTTTGCATTTTTGGCTCAATGACATCCGTTCGGCTAAAGAAATGTATCAAAGAATAAACATTCCCTTGCGTACTATCGAACGTAACCTCCAAAAGCTTAGAGAAACGGGTACCGTTGAACGTAAACAAAAGTAGTGGTAGACCATCGAAGGTTACACGAACTCTTGCACGTTCATTGGGTCAACATATTCGTCATAATTCTGCTTTAACAACCCGTCAACTTTCTTTATTAGCCCAGGAAAAGCATAATATATTGATTTCTTATACTTATATTTGGAGACATATGAAAAAAAGGGGTATGAGAGTTCTATACCCCCATGCTGACGACTCGACACATCGAAACACGAAAAGAATGGGCATGAGACTATATGAACACTAACTGGGACAAAACAATATTCACAGATGAAACTGCTTTCGATCTTTTTAGAAACAAAGATAGTAGATGGCACAAATATGGTAATAGACCAACCCGACGTTTGCCAAAAGTGTGTCAAAAGGTAATGGCATGGGGTGGGATCTCATTAAAAGGTAGAACATCTTTATTTTGTTTTACCGATATCATGAATGGCCTTATTACGTAAATATTTTGCAGACACAACTTCTATCTGTTGCAAAAAACTTATGCGGTAGAGGTTGGCGTTTGCAACAAGACAATAATCCTAAGCACACTTCAAGTGTTGCGAAGGAATTCTTTGCCCAAAATAAAATTCGGGTCGTAGAGTGGCCATCCAATAGCCCCGATTTAAACTCTATTGAAAATGCTTGGAATATCATAAAAAATAATGTTGAAAAGCATATGCCACAAAATATTGACGAGTTAAAACAATTTATGGTTGAGGAATGGGAAAAAATCCCTAAAAAATGTAAATAATTCTATGAAAAATAGATGTGAACTAATTTAGTAAATAACGGAAATAGAATTGGATATTGAATTTTTTTTAGAAAAAGGCTGTAGTTGTGGTTGCTCTTCCAGAATTCCCAAGGAACAATTTGCAGAATTAAGGGAAACTTTTCAAGCTCTCACTAAACCCGAACAAGACATATTTTTGATGGCACAGGTTAAAGCAATGGATGGAGGGACAGTAAACACCAGTAGACGCCTTAAAAAGAAAAATAGATCTAAACAACAGAACTTTCTATCATTGAGATCATAATACACTACTTTGTCAAGAAATTTATCTCAATATGCTGGGCATTGGCAGGACTTACTTTGAAAATATCAGAAAACATCTGATAAACAATGGCCTTCTACCAAGAGTTCGTGGTAACATTAAAAGGATGCCTCAATAGAAAACTAAAATGGTGATTGATAAAAATGTTGCTGAAGTAGTAAAGAATTTTCTAGAAAATTATGCAGAAGTCCATGGATTACCAAGTCCAGGAAGAAGTATCAATA